TCTCCACTCTCCATGCGTACATACGATTTTTTAAATGTTTCATTCATATTTCGTATAGATTAAATTTAAAAGTTTGGCGAGTGCCAAAAATTCGTAAGGACGCATTTAATCATAGGAAACAGGAAATAATTAAAAAATTTTGGGAAGAAGTAAGTTTGCTAGTCGATATTCCCAAAGCGGGGTTTGGTAATACGAATGATGGGAATACGGCTAGGAGATTTTTTTCCGACCCTGCTATTTCATTCAGAATTACTGGTGTAGAGCAAAACTTAATTTATAGATGTGGTACTTTATTAAAAACTTTAAATTCCGGTTATCAAGTAGATTCAATGCAATTTGACCATTATGCTTATGAAACAGCTCAAATCTATGTGAGCGTCTATGGATGGTATCCAATGCCCCCTACAGTGCATAAAATCTTGATGCACAGTAAAGAGGTTATCGATAACTTTTTATTACCGATAGGACAACTGGGAGAAGATGCCCAGGAATCGAAGCATAAAGAGGTTAATACTACAGGGAGCATAATACTAGGAAGATATCTAGAAATGATTGCAGCAAAGACTTATTTAATATTATTTTAGTCTCTTCAGACCCTCTTGTATCTAGTTTGAGGGTTGTACTACCAAAAAAAGAAAGTGTTTTTAGTACAGAAGTTATTAATCTTCTAGCAGAACCTGAATTTAATTAGATATATATTTTGCACCATTCGTATTATTAATTATAGTTAGGTAATACTGATTTTTTATAATTAAATACTTTATAAATTTATAACATTAACTTTTACAGTGACGTTGTTTCTTGATGGTAGTGTATTTAAACTGTGTGTATCTTTTTTAAAATCGGTTGAATTTTAACTCAAAAAATGAACTGTAGTGTAAAGTTATTCAGGTGATAAAATTAACTAATTTTAATAATTACCTATTGGTTAGAACATGAACAATTATTGTTTTTTTTTTATTAAACTTATCTTGTCACCCTGTACATTCAGTTCATGGAAATGGTACTATGTGTAAATATTATTTTACCAAACCGGTTAAATAAATATTCGCCATGCCTATATATATTATCCTTATAAATCCAACGAATTAATCGCATTTATTCGCCTATGTGATTATTTCTGGTAATACGGTGGATGTTTGCGTCAGCACGCATTCACATCCAACGCGATAACTGGGGCATTTTCAACGGTACAAGGACGATGCTGGCAAATTTTTGTTTGTTGGTGCAGCCCCTATTTTAAATCGGCTCCGCCACAAAATTCGTGTAGACGATAAGATCTTTTACTAATAAACGCGTTACGACATATCAGGGAAACAAAGACTAGCTGAGTTTTTGATGATTTTTGTGGACCGAGTGCATAATTTTCCCGAGTTTTATAATTGGTCCTTTCCAAATCAAAAAATTACTTTGTTTGACCCTAATATAGATAATTTTTAAATATTGATTTAAAAGCCATTAGCATGTTTATTAACAATAATCTTCTTTGCAAATTGAAAAACAAATGGTTGATGGTATATTATGCAATAAGTTTGATAAATGGCATTTAAGTCGTGACTTTTATTTTGACACTAGCTGCTTTGACGTGCTTAATAAACGAGTGACTTTTAAAGTTTACCAAACGTAGATATTGTATGTGTAGCATATTGTACTTGATATGACCGTGCGAATTGCCAAAAGTCAAAATTTAAGCTGTGCGGTAAGATCTACGAAATGGCCCGCAGGCATAGAAAACGAAACGATCGGTATATAGTTGACTATTTTAGCGAAGCGAGCGGAAACACTTTTCAAGTCTCTCGTTTGTTAAAGATTCGCTCCGCTCGTGGCAAATAAACTTGTGACTTAAATGCCGTTTACCACAGTTGTTGCTTAATTTACTATCATGCGAAGGAAAACAGGCTTGTCTTTTTATTTATTTACAGCTTCATTGTGAAAATTTTGGATTATTTTCGGAATCTTTATTATTAAATAATGTCCTGGAGTAATAGAAGCTCCCATATTTATTAAAGTTAAACTATAGCCCATTCCCATATACAGTGAAGTAGAATAAAATTTAAACAAAGAAGTTTCTTTTTTGACTCATCAATTGCATTTTTATTTTTTAGCTAAAATTGAGCTGTTAACGCTATTACAAAATTTATTGGTAAAATTGGCTATTAAATAAAAATAGTACTAATAACTACGTTGAATTGTTGAAATTAATATCGGGTACTTATACGCCTGATAAAACGAAATATATTTTGACAAAATAGAAAATTATACAATTAAATATTAAAAAATTTTCTCCCTCTTTTCCAATGTCTTACTCGTTTGAATTATATCTCACAGATATAATGAAATTTAATTAAATTTTCTGGCGTTGATCCTAATCAAATGTAGAGGGCTGAAAGAAAGGGGTGTTTAATCTTATTTGCTTCTGAACGTTAATCTTGAGAGACGTTTTGCTAAAATCGCTGTAATCTTTATTTCGGCCTGCTGTCAGAATAAAATTTTGCAGTCAAATACTTGCTTAACTTATTTCATCTTTTTGCTTTATTTCCGGAAAACAGTAGTGTAGTGATCAAAATGTCAATCTCAATCAATCAACTAGTGAAATTTAAAATTTATCTTACAGGGCGAAGTCTAGCCTAAGGCCTAAATCTAACCCTGGTATAGTGTGGAACTGAGGAAACATTTCAATACAAACTACTGACTAATAGATCGATTAACAATTTGAGCCCCGAGAGCAATGCTTGTCGGGTTTGTAGGTTAGAATATTTCCAACAGCCACGAGAAAACGAAAGAGGAAATTTTCTCGCCAGTTTTTCGGCAAACGCGTCTATTATATAATAGCGAAACACAAGGAACTCAAACAAGAAGGCAACCAAAGGAAGCTTGGGTAATACCGAAGCAAATAAAACTTTCTATTTTAATAAAGTTTCAGCACCCTGCTTGGCTGATAAAAGGAAGCTCATTGCGAAAACTTGAACGTGCACAATACCACACTCGTTTCTTTGCAAAAAGTTTCTTAAGCCGAACTTCTGGTGAAGTAGTCCACAATATAAAACCTAAATAATGAAAATTGTAGAAACAGCACCTTCTAATAACAGAAAGCCGCCAAATTTGATCACTGTTGTAAGGGTCAGATATTGACTAACGTTGACTAATATTAAAAAAGTGTAGTAATACTATAACAATCAATGGCCGTATTTAGAAAAAACGCATTTACTTTTAAGTAAAATGTAGAAGCAAAGGGTAGACAGAAGAAAAATTTTTATTAGAATTCGTATTCATAAATCACGTTACACACCAGCTTCACCCCACTAGTGGGCAGAGTAAAATTGATTGATCCCGAGGAACTATCCAAACTATTCACGAATTGTACTTCCACGAGAGTACAAACCCGCATGGCAATATCCCGGAAATATCCGAAATGTGTCGGTGTATAATTGGCTATTTTACCTAGCATCTATTATGCAACATTTTATTTTATACATATCGCGTTCTGTGAGTTTTACACGCCAAGGCTATATATTTTAACGGGGTTCCTTTTTTTGCGTAATATTGCCGGGACTGGAGGGGTAAATTGCTACAACAGCTTGTTTTAAAATTAACATTTTTATGATTAGTATCGCATGACAATTTCAGCTTGCAATCGTAAATTTTCACCCTTTTTAAAATTTGCTCTAACCGTTTTATACATGTTGTTTCAGAATGCAATGCAAAAATTTGAAGGGTATATTTATAAGTCAGTCTTTTTAGATACGCTTTGTGTCCTAACTTTATAAAATATTCGCTTATACGTCGTGAAAACAGTTGTTATTTTGTGTAATTAAAATGAAATTATTTATTCATCCCAATGCAATGGCGTCCCTGACCAATAACAACAACTTTTTTTGTTCCTGTCATTTTTTTGTATCTATCTTCGTCTTCAAAATAAAAATTAGAAACCGTTGCTCTGCATGTTTGTGGTCATCTATATTTATCTATTTGTTTACGAAAATAATCCGTTTTTTAATTAAATAAATCTAAATAATCCTGACGCATTATTAATTGTTATATTCCAGGTGCATAAAGTAAAAAGCCTATTTTCGTTTTTTAAACTAATCTACACACAAATAAGGTAAAAAATAAAAAATTTTGCTTTGATTGCTTGGTTTACAAAAATTATTCAATTAAATTAAAAAAAAAAACAAAATAATGATGTTTACGACAACAAATGCCAGTGCAAAGTTTTGTCAAAATCAGCTGAAAAGTTTTTGAGTAATTATTAAAAGAACGGCCAGTTAGGAGATATGAATATTATTCTTGTGAAAACTATGCTTCATTCATTTTATGGTTTGTGAAAATTTCCACTTGAGCGACCCTTTTTATGGACACAAATATCCCGGGAAGAAAATTTTTGATTTCGTAGTTTTTATTTAGTTATCTAACTCGGTACAGGAGTCTCTAAATTCCACATTATATATATATATATATATATATATATATATATATATATATATATATATATATATATATATATATATATATATATATATATATATATATATATATATATATATATATATATATATATATATATATATATATATATATATATATATATATATATATATATATATATATGATGACACTATATTCCGGGATATCATCCGTTCGCTCGTTGAACTCCGACTGGAATCCTGCATCCGACTGGAATCCTGCAAATCTTGCATCCGACTGGAATCCTGCAGACGTTTCGCCAAAATCTCACTTGGCATCTTCAATGCTCGCGCTCCGAAAACACTTCGAACAGTGTTTTCGGAGCGCGAGCATTGAAGATGCCAAGTGAGATTTTGGCGAAACGTCTGCAGGATTCCAGTCGGATGCAAGATTTGCAGGATTCCAGTCGGATGCAGGATTCCAGTCGGAGTTCAACGAGCGAACGGATGATATCCCGGAATATAGTGTCATCACATTTTTCCATCCGTGAATCAATACGTGAGAATATATATATATATATATACATACATACTTACCCTCGGTGGACATAAAATTTTCATTGTGTATTCGATCTCTTGCTGTAGGTCCGCAATATCTAACAGGCCCTTGAAAACTACGTGGCCTATAAGATCGTGCCTAGAAAATCTGTCGAAATCGTAGACGGAATATTGCAGATATCGATCTCGTAGTTCTTCGTAAGTCACGCTGAAACAGCAGAAAAATTTTTTCTTTTACAAATATTTTTTTCACCTTTTTCGTTTTTTGCGGGGACAAAAATTAATAGATAGATGTGTATTTATTATAGACTATTTATGTTTGCACAGAATTATTTTTTGTTTTCTTCTTGAAATGAACTCAAAATATGTTTATATTTCCAATATTATTTAGACCGATTTATTGATGCTAAGGAATTATTTTTTAAACAAACGGCTCTCTTAAAAGTCAATATGTTTGGTTATAGTATTTTAGTTTTAAAATTTTAAAGCATCAAACTTTTCCATAAATGAAAAAAGCCATACTCCTAAGCCATACGTGTTTCTGAAAACTGATTTTTTTCTTTAAAATGATTTCTGTATGGTGGATTTTTCTTAATATATTGTTACAACAACGTTGTCTCTTTTTTACGGGTAGTCTACCGGGACGCTTTTATAAAAGGAGATACTTGTATACCTAATAAGGTTTTGTTACTCTATATCTTTCTAAAATAGACTTTAATTACAAAAAAAAATTGGTTAGTATCTCTACGAATTAGTTTACATTGAATATTGTTAAATTTCGCTAATTTATGGTAAACAATATGTTCAATCTTTTATTGGTAGAGTACTATTTTTCGGGTAAATTGTAAGTATTATTTATTTTGTTTTTACTACAAATTTGCCTAACCTCTAGCCAGGTGCAGCCAGGCTCTTTTTTGCGACGCTGGTAGCAAGGTAGGATTTACATTCTGTGTTGATACAAAATTTGGTCCTTCGAGTCGGATATTATATTTCGCAAAATAATTGTGTAATCGGTGATTACACAAGAGTTTCCCCGGATTTTTCTTTATTCTCGATCAAGTGCCTTTCATATTGTCGTATTTGGATCTACAAAAGTCGAGAAAAGATCCAGGTAAAAAGTTGGACAAATAAATCATTTAATTTTACAGATTTTACAATTTTCCTTGCTCCGCAATCAAAAACTTCGTTTTATTTTTTTATCGATTTTCGTTGAAATCCGATTAATATATGTATGTATTTTTTTTCACTTTCGCTGAGGCAAAATTTTGTATGGTAATATGGCCTTGAAATATTTTTTTTTTTCGTGTTTAATATATCGGAGTTTAGAGCAAATCCAATTGGCTTCACTTTTGCTTTGCGAGGCATTCTAGCCGGGTTTAAATCTTGACTAGCCTCATTTTCGGATTCCTAATTTAACCTAAATAACTGATTACATTTTATAGGTAGGTGGCAATTTAGAAAATTTCGGGTCTCTTTTTGTCCATTTTGTTGTTGGAGAATGGCACCCACTCTTTCGGCTTCCAATACTGAAAAATTAAATAGATATATCGTTTAAATAGTATTAAAGAGGCATACTCCTTAGCTGTAAAAGCCAAGTCTGATTACTGGCCAATTTATGAACTCAAGGGTAGATATGAAGATACATTGAAAGAATATACAAAATTTCAAGAACTTCATAACAATATCTTAATTTTAACTTCCGCTTTGGGGGAATAAGAATTTTTACAATAGGATGAAGTTCAAAGCGATTTATTTCGAGCTTGTTGGTACTGGTTCTTCGTCCGCACCCGTTTCGCAATGTACAAAAATCAGGTAAAATTTAATTTGCTTTTGTACAAAATTCTAAGCAACATGCGTAATAGATTTAAACTCGAATTTGTTAACAAAAAAACCAGCGATGGTAGTAATGGAACTTCGAAGGGACAACCGTCAAATAAGGACCTGTATTTATTTTTGGTTGAAGAACTTCAACTGCAATACAGGTTAAAAATAATTTCAAAATTTCATATCCAAATAAAGATACGTGCGCCTCATTTAAGAAATCATAATCAACACCTGGTGTTTTTATAGCTGATGGAGTTGTTTGTTCGTGATATAGGGGGCGGAACATCCTTTAGCGTCTTGCAGTTAATTTTTGAAGTGTCAATTTTTCCTACCGCTGAATTTGTGTCAATTCTTGTTTTGCATGACTCCGCTTCAGCATCCAATTTTGTTCCGGGAGATTGTCTGATGTGTCTTGGGCTGCCTCGCGAACGATGTAAAACTCATATAGCGAACATTGGCAATCAAGAATTCGTAACGGCGAAGGGGTTGTTAATTGTATTGTCAAGCCTCATTTTTCACCAGAAACACAGTTGCTTTTAAGGGCTTTGGTCCTTCCAACAATTTTTGCCAAGTATTTCAGCGAATATTCCGCATATGCCATACTTTGATACTTTTGTACTGGCCGATAGGAAATTTTGGAAGCTTGCCGATATCGATTTGCTAATTGGGGTAGCGGAGTTTACATCTATTATGAAAAATAATAAGATGAATTTCTCTGACCCGGAAGGGCCCATGTTTATTGAAACAATTTTTGGTTGGGTTGCTCTAGGAAAATCTAAGATTTTGAACAAAACTAATGTCGCTTCTTTGCCGACGTATTCTACAAAAATTTTGGAGTCGAAAAATGATAATATTAAGCGGCTATGGGCGGTCGAATGCGTACCTATTATCAAAACGGTATCGCCAGTGAAAACCTATACAAGAAAACCCATTTTAGAGATTCTTCTATCCGAGAAAAGAAGAACCCAATTTTTGGAGAATCAAAAAATTTAGCTTTACGCAGACTTTATTCTTTAGAAAATAGATTGTATCATAACCCAGCTTTGTTGGATTTGTATAGAAATTTGATGAGAGAACATCTCTGGGCTGGTTATATGTCGATCGTGTGTTTGTTTGTTTTGGCGTCAAGACACTTTCGTTGGTGCTTTAAACCTGTCTATCGCAGGTAGAGGACGCTCAGATTGTGGCACCAATTTTATTGGCGCCAGTAGACAACTGGTAGAGCTCATTAAAAACGCTGTTGAGACGGAAAAAATCAAATGGTACGCTATCAGCACTTAATTTCGGAGGGTTATGGGAAGCTGGTGTGCGTAGCATGAAATATCACCTGGTTCGGTCAATAGGGCTAAACATATTAACGTTCTAGGAAATGTACACTACACTGTTGCATCAAGTCTGTTCTAAACTCAAGACCTTTACACCTTTTGAGTAGTGACCCTAATGACATGAGCGCTTGACTCCAGGGCATTTTTTAACTCTGGAGTCTCTTACTTCTCTACCTTTTAAGGATTATACCGAACGCTGATATTAATACTTTGCAAAGTTGGGAATTGGTGTAATGATTGCGCAGTGAATTCTTGATGCGGTGGCATCACGATTACTTGAACACGCTTCAGCAGCGTTCGAAACTAAATACGAATTAAATCTTCTTTGTTTTCTCTTCTTCCATTAATTACAGTAAAATGTTATTTTGTCAAAATACACTTGGTGATTTTAAGGTCGGTGGTATGTTCGATCTTATATTGGTAGAGGAGTATTTTTCAGGTAAATTGTAAGTATCAATTAGTTCATTTCCTAGTATAATTTTTTTTTAAGACAATCGGCAAAACGAACGAGAACTGCACGTGTCAGTTGGGATTAAACAAGCAAAGTAGGGTGTACATTCCTCGTCGATACACAATAAATCAGCTCTTAATTTTTAAGATCGCACCGCAAAAAGCTCCCAAATAATACGCGTCGACCTTGTACAGGGAAAATAACGTGATCGAATGCGGGGAAAAACCAAATCTCGGAAACATCACTTCGGGACTATAACATGAATTTCAAATTCCGAATAAAACCCAAGGCGGCTTTACTTTACTTGTTCTGCTTCGTCTGTTCCGGTAAAACCTTTGTAATATATTTCAAAGGCCTATAAACAATCTCGCATGATGCCAACCAGGGACACAACTTTTGTAAAACTGTGAAATTTTGTTCCAGTCCCTACAGTATTTCGCATTGTTATTAAATGAGACCTGCGGAAAGGGTGTTGAGGGGCCAAACGTGAATGTCATACCAAATTACTCACAAAAGGTTTTTTAGAAAGTTTTGTCATCTGATGTCACTTTATTATATGCCATTAGCTTCAGAATAGACAAAAGAAAGGGAAAAATCGAAGAAGTCTGCGTGAGGATACGATGAACTATACCTACTATAAAACATGTTATATAAGCTATTTAAGAGTCCGCTCCATTTGGGTCTCGACCACAGAAATCATAGGCAAATTTTCAGTAATCATTTTTTTTTATTGAGAGAAAGACAGCAGGTTAAGTGAAACCTCGCAGGAAAAGTCCAGGCAGACCAGTAAAAGTCTTTTATGAAGACTTCAAAGGTGTAATTTAATGATAAAAACACTTTTTTTAATTTTGGATTGTGCCTGGGAAAAGCATAACCATAAATCACTTTCACTAAAAAACCATGAAATTGTTTGCTGAGAACCAGAAACATAAAGCGGTACCGATAACAGTAAAAGAAAATCTTTTATCTTCATGGGATTTGGAATCTGTAGATTATTTGTTTAACAATGCATTTTTACATATATTAAATTTGTACTAAGACAACACGACATTCAAAATGAAAGACCTTCAGCTTGTGTTTCATGAAGCCGTTGAGGAAGTGACATTAGAGAACTGGCGAAAAGTAGTCCAGCATAACATTAAAGAAGAGGACAAAATATGGCTAGTTATAATGTCAAGATTAGAGGACAGTTTCTTAGCTGAAGAATATTATTATTATTCTGCATAATGTATGTCAGTGTTGGTGAATGAAAAGCAAAGTTGGTACTGCTATAGTAGACTAGCACTACTAGACTATAGTAGACCGAAATTTTTCAACCATAAAAGACACATGGTAAGTAATAAATGTTACTACCGTCTACGATACTATAGATACGATAGAATTTCTGCTAAATTCCTAAACTGACTTTATTGAATAAATTTTTTCAGTCAGGAATTTTTCCTGACTGCTTGAAACAGTCGCACGTTGTTCCAATTTTCAAAGGTAAACGAAACGGGAAGGATCTCCAAAACTATTGGCTTGTTTCGCTACTATCGGCTGCGGGTAAACTTCTTGAAAAACTTTTATATAGTAGGCTAACATCTTTTTTTAACTTAAGTAAAATTTTAAGTGACTGTTAACAACTACTATTGCAATGTTTGAGGTGGTTTCTAGAGCGATACATTTTTTAGATAAGAAAATTGTGAACGTTGGATTCACGTGTGTCTTTAGTAAAGCTTTTGGAATGCAAGCACTGGCTTACAGCTGATTGGAAAGATGTTTAATTAATCGGATTTAGTGTGTGGTTTTGTCCGACTATAAACTTAATTATCACAAGTCAGAATGGGGTGAAATTCAATGTGGGGTACCACAGAGATCTATTTTGGCACCGCTGCTATTTTTGATTTACATTAATGATGTCCCTGCCTGTTTCGAAGATTCTAAAATAGTCTTTTTTGCTAATTGATCTAGAAAATAAAATAAATACCTGACTGAGTGGTGTTCAGCAAACAAAATGAAAATAAACTTCTAAACTCAAATTATATACTTCCAAGATGCTTTCAACCAGGGAAACAAATTTTCTTATGATGTTGGAGTAGCTAAAAACTCTCAATGTTTAGGGTTTTACTTGGACTCATCTTTATCATGAAAACATCATATTAAATACGTGAATGATCGATCGACGAACTGCATTTCTCGCGAATGTTATGTCGCATATCGAGTTGGGTGGCGGTGGCGTTTTATCCTATAGAAGAGAGCTATTAGAATTATCTTTATTCTGAACAGAACTGAATCATGTAAACATTTCGTTGGTTTAAAAGTTCTGACGTTGGCGAGCCTTTATATTATAAATATACTATATTTTGGGGATCGATATAACACAGCTGTGACTATATAGTGAACTCCCAATTGACCGTAGGCATTTCAAAGAAAAAGTAATGAAGGTCCTTTATTCAAAAGGCTGTTATAATATTCATGAATATCGGCAGGACCATGATTTTGCTGTTTAGTGTGACTTTTTTCTGTGTACAAATCTCTCTTAATTTATATTGGAAATTGTATTATCAATATTCAAACGCAAATTGTAACTTATATATAACTCTCAAAATCTATCTATGTATGTTCTACTCACTATTTTTCAACGCATTTATTCGTACATTCCCTTTCTATTTTTTTTTCTATTTTAATACAATATTAAGTCTTGTGGCTATCAAACAATAACACATCTGATTTAGGTTTTACGTATCGCGATCTGTAATTTACAAGCCGGTGTCTAGCCTGGTATAATTATACAGATAAAACAGGTTCTTGTTTTGGATATAAACACAGGCACGTGCAAATCTTTGAGCTTGAATTCCGCTCAACCGCAAGGGATTATCCTGAAGCTGCTTTTTTTCTATTTCTCTGGTATGTAAATATTACCGCTCATTTACGTGAGATAGACTGTATGGGTAAATATAAACAGCGTGGACTAATGAAAAGATAACAAATTAGATTAATCTATTTGTTTAATTGTAAGGGAATTTTAAAACCGTATCTCGGTATCCATTTCCGCCTCCTTAATTCGTAGAAAAACTGTTTGGTTTTCCGATGCCTAGTAACTGAATTTAACATATATTAAATTAAAACCAATAAACTATTTTAGCACTTCCAACGCTAAACATATTTAACTCCCATATAGTAATCATAGAGGAAGTTACGCGTAGAACAAGCATTTTTCAGTTACTTGATTTTGATAATATTTTGACCGTTGTGTTGACAACTTAATAATATGTCGTCTGATTTTTATGTGATTACTAAGGAGCTCCTCGATGCTCAGTTTTATCGTTTATGTTTTTTTCAATATATTGGGTTGTTCGGAAAGTCATTTCGTTTTTTTTGGGGAACATGAAAGACAGTTTTCGTATAATGAATAAATATTTTATTAAATTATATATTGGCCATTCTGGTCCAACACCTTTTGCCATCTTTCTGGCAGTAACATAATTCCCCTCTCATAAAAGTTTTGGTCCTTGCTGTCAAAAAACTGGTTCAGGTGGTTTTTGACATCTTCATTTGAGGTAAAGGTTTTGCCATCCAAAAAATTTTGCAGGGACCGGAACAAATAGTAGTCGGAAGGCGCCAGATCTGGAGAATATGGTGGATGTTGCAGTACGTCCCATTCAAGCTGTAAAAGTTTTTGGCGAGTGACCAAACTTGTGTGAGGTCTCGCATTATCCTGGTGGAACACTACACCCTTCCTGTTGATTAATTCGGGCCTCTTCTCTTTAAGTGAATCATTCAATTTGTCCAGTTGATGACAATAGACTTCTGAATTAATCGTTGTATTGTCCCGCAAAAGCTCAAAAAAAACGATTCCTTTGACATCCCACCAAACGGAGAGCATCACCTTTTTTTGGTGAATGTTGGCTTTTGACACGCTTTGAGCCGGTTCATCTTTTCTGCTCCATGACCTCTTGCGTTTAACATTGTTGTATACAACCCATTTTTCGTCCCCAGTAATAATCCGCTTCAAAAATGGATCATTTTCTTGACGTTTGAGGAGCAAATCACACACGTCAACGCGACGACACAAATTTCGCTCCGTAAGGACATGGGGCACCCACACATCGAGCTTCGAGGTTAAGCCCATGCCTTTCAAATGGCCATAAACAGTCGAATTCGACAAATTTAATCTCTCACCGATTTCTCGTGTGGTTATTCGCCGATTTGCATCAACGAATGCCTTTATCGCATCTTTGTCAGCTTCGACCGGCCTTCCAGACCGTGGTGCATCTTCGACATCAAAATTGCCGGATCGAAATTTTGCAAACCAGTTCTGGCACTGGCGTACTGTTAACACGCCTTCTCCATACACATCCGTCAATTTTTTTCTCGCTTGGATAGCATTTTTACCTTTTCTGAAGTAAAAAAGTAAAATATGACGAAAATGCTGTTTATTGCTCTCCATATTTAAAAGGGCACCAACCAAAAACTACTGCGTAGAATTAATAGAACTTTTTCACACACAAGCCTTGCAATATCAGCTCTCAAGACATATAATGGTTATGCGGCTTAAGTGTGAAGTTGGTTTCGAAAAAACGTAATTAAGTCCTCTGACGGGAAAAAACGAAATGACTTTCCGAACAACCTTATATAATTCGAAAATTTTGCAATTTGTCACATATAGCGAACTAGACCCATATGAAGATGGCAACAGCAGCAGCTCAATTAAACTGTTGCTTTAAAATGTCGGTATATTTATAAAACACGCCTCTTTTTGTCATAACGTACGTCTTTATACATCTCAATTTTCTCTTTCCTTTTTAGTTCTAAGTAAGTATAAGCAAAACAAATAATGTTATTTAGATTGGTAAAAATTATACTGCCCAACAGTTATTTTTGGAGTGCATTTGGACTCAACAGACGTCAAGTCAAGACATTTCCTTAGGAAAATGATGAAATAAATGATACTCCTTTTTCATTTTACTTGTTGTGATTTGGATTAAAATTTTGGAAAGCATCCAAAGAGTCAGAGAATTTGGTCACTAGATTAACCTGAATATAAAGTGTCCACTCGGGAATACTAAACTAACTAACCAAATACTCAAACATATATCAGTCGTTAATAAATTAAATTTTTCATAATGTGCCTATGCCATTTAAAATACGATAGTTAAATTATTTCATTTATCTCATCTCCATCTCAAAATTATTTATGACAATTTTTGGTGCACATTATTAGAAAAGTATAAAATAGTGAAAAATGCCAATGCCAGGAAACATAAAACGTGTTTAGTGCTTCAATATCAAAGCGAAAACTGGAGTCGTTTACATTTTACAATTTGCTTGTATTCAATGCATCAACGCCATAAAGAAAGATGCATTAATTACATGGACTCGAGACATTCCAGCTGTTCACTCGAGCGCCATCGTAATATTTTTGTATCGTTTTAGGACGCTATTATTATTGTTATTTAGTGTTGGATTAAATGGGATGAAAGTATTGTATTTAAATATATAATGTTCTGAACCAACTATAATTAAATTACCAGAGGTGATACGAAATGTTGTAGAAAAAATGCACTTATTTTGCTTATAACGTTAATTAAATAATTATTAACAATGAAATTATACGCCCTCCATTTTTGTGCACTTGTAGATTCTTGAAAAATACTAGTTAATGAAATAATCTAACTCATGATAATTTAGTTTCATCCAATTTAATCGGCCATGTGTCTTTAAATGGTTTAAACGTATACGTATATATACGAAGAAGTATGGTCCATAACAAAACGTTTTATAGGTACCGGATTGTAATCTAAAATATTTCAAAATTCAAAAACGTTTATTACACGTTGTTGTATTTAACAAGGGAATGAAAAACCTTCGGGGCCAAAAGGGGGGAGCAAAACGTTCAGGGACGAAGTCATTAACAGGATCCCCACTGTTCGCTTTATATTTAATAAAAAGTCACCGTGGATCCAACAAAAGGAATTTTTTACCTGAATATAAACGTTTCATTAAAGACGGGATTCTGATTTTTCCTGTGGACCTTTGTTTGGAACTTTTTCTTTCTGTCCGGCAACAGGTACAGTTTAATATATGGATCGCAACTTCCGTTCATGTCTTTTACCGGTAAGTCCCTTGCCTCGAAAACCTGTAAAAGAAAATGTGGTTGAAGCGGAATAATAAAACAATAATACATGCCGTTGCGGCGGCCTGATTGTGTTAAAAAAGCATAAAAACTCAAAAGTCGTGCATACATAAACGCAATTTTGTGTGATTTAATATGTAGAGTGATTCACGTAAAGTTTGACACGTCGTTAAAAGGAACCTGCAATGTTATTCAACATCCAGTTTTTGAAAAAAAAATGCTTTTTAAAAAAATCACTACATAAGTAAAAATTAATCTTTACTTTCGCAAGGACCATTTGGGTATTTTGCATTATGATATGTACAGACTGAGTCAAAGATAAAGTTCATTATCTCATTGGTTTTAACAGTTATCGTGGCCAATTAATATTACGACAACAGTCTTAGACAGAAAGAAGGGTAAAATATTTGAAAAGTTAAAATAAATTGCAAAGTATTAACAATAGTTATATGACATGTTAATAAAAATTTTTGAAAGATTTCTCAAAAAAAAAATGTACATGGTAGCCAAATTAAGAAAATCTACATTTTTCAATTTAAAATAATCCAAATAATTCCGTTGCATATATCTTTTACGTCATATTCAAATAGCGCTTATATCAAATGTGATCTACCGTTAACAGTGCCAACTAGCTCAGATGTGTGGGAAGCGAAACTGACGTGGTAAAATGACACTTAAAATGTTCATTGTATTCGGTAAATTTATTATCAAAATTGTGAAAAAATGTTACATACAAGCATGGGTTCTTAGAGACGGAATTTTTTGAGTTTCTATGCTGCGTAAGAAAAGATTATTAATTACTTTATAAACCATTGAAGATAGGTTTGGGTTGAATTTTATGGTTAATTAAATTTTTACGTGCCATCGCAATCTATAATAAAATAAACGATGTTCCCTTTGATATTCCAAGTTCTCGTTGGTATCGGAAGATATGGAAACATTAAATGTGCCATAATATTTAAAAATATAACATTATGGATCCGACAGTCGCCTATCTCATTTTGAAGACCCAGCTTGGTTAGTTTTCCTAAACTTTCGAAACGGTACGTGAATCACTCTGTATTAACATGGAACTGTAGGCGCCCTACTATTTGCGCCAAGTAACTCACATTAATTTGATAGATAAGAAATCCGCATCCGCTCAGAATATTTGTACAGCACAGTACAGTAAATGTAAATTTAAACTTTTAATTGAGTTTTGGGAGTAGATATTTCGGTAATTTGTAACGCAAGTTAGCACACATTAAACACAAAACGTACATTTAATTTTTGCTGACACTGTGCAAATTTTCAAGAATGAAATACATACTGTTTAACGATTTTTAGCAATGAATTGCAGGCATCCAGAAAATGTAAAAGATTTTTCAAAGAAACATCCGTAGGCTACTGCAATACTATTTACAAATCCTCTAGATTCGTCCTGCGTCGGTGGTTGATGAATCGAACTTCATTATCACCAGCAATCGCAAATATATTTATGGAAGCTTTTGAGAAGAAAGCCCTCGACACTTGCCATCTAAACCAAGGACGCTAAGTTGAAGATACTTTTGTTATTTGGCCTTATGGTCTAGAATTCTTTTGAGATTTTCTTAACAATTTAAATTCCTATACACCATCATATACGTTTTACCATTGGATTAAAAACTAGAAATAATCTCCCATTATTCGAGTTTACAGCGTTCCATGCATGTACGACAAAGACAATGCTCATGTTTCCCCTCCTTTATCTCTGTTTCCCTCAAACAGTATCCAGGAATCCATAAATTAGTATTGAAAAATATATGAGCAATAATATAATCTAAAGAGGATACCATTTTCCAATTTGATTTTGTTGATGTAGTTTTTAAAAACTTCTCTACCCTTACTTTTCTCACTGTAACAGCTAAAAAATTGCACACAGTACTAGTCTAAAATTAATTAAACAAACCGCCATCATACCGGATCAATACGCGATACGCACTACATTTTTTATACACTGGGTGCCAATCAGCGTTCTTGAGTAGTGCGGAAGAGTCGGGAAGGAGATCGGCAAAAACGAAATTAAATCTGCGAGTACGATTTTGGAACGATTTTCACTACACGAACTGAAAAAAGTATCTTCGAGTTTAACAATCACTTAGCAAAATTACGTTGCCGTTACTAAATTGTATTTTATTTAACCACAATTATGTCCCAATTTTGCCTGACTAAACAATTAGCTTGATTGTGGCTTTAATCGGATTAAAAGTTTCATTAAATTTTGCCGTACCCGCCAAGGTGTCAGGTGCATCTGCTCGGATAAAAGCGTCTTCCCCATTTTATATTTCGCCATTCGAGCGTGTTACAAATAAGCATTGAACTTAAATACAAAATTTATTAGTATTAATAATTTAGTAAAAGCTGTGTAAAAATTTTTCTTGTATTATAATTCCGCATTTTAGATCACGTTTCATTCAAAATTTTAATGTATTTGTCTCTATGCTCCTAGATTATGTTGTTGTTAGTTGTTTGAGAAATTCCAAACGATTCATAAGTGTATTAGTTAGTGTCCGAAACACTTGTTGATTTAAATTGTATTAAAATTTTGAAGCATTTTGTTAATATCTTTTTTTTAATTTTTTTCTTTACTAAATAAAACTTCCAAAGATGTTCTTTATGATTATCTATGCTTGTTTATTTGTCTTTTCTTCCACTAGTTCATTGCTATCACTAATACGCAAACATATCTATCTCTATTAGGGTGGCTAGGATCTGTATCTAACAAACAAAAACTAGTTCCTAGGTACCTCTAGTAGGTACTTATCACGAATGAGCTCTTAATATTAATGGGAACATTATCCTAATTACAGTTTTGCATTTTCGATGTAGTCTCATTAAACCAATTTTATTAATAATCTTTATAGGAAATTGAACGCTCTAGAAAAATGTTCCCTTGTACTTTTCAGATAAATCAAACCATTTCAAAGATATTCGAGGTCCAAGATTGAAGAATTATAGTGAAGTGTTTTCAATCATTCTTATAGGAAATGTAAAGCTCTACAAAAAAGGTCTCTTGTAGTTACTCGAACCAATCTTGATTCATAGTTTTTAATAAATATTCTCAATTTATTCATTAAATTAGTAAACTTTGAGATTATTTATTATCTATTTCAGAAAAAAAATCTGTTCTAGTCAGGAAATAGATCTCGATATTTTTTGACAACTTGCAGCAAGTATTATAACTGTTCTTCGTTTTTCGTCAAACACTGATTATATTCAGTGACCAACGCTCTGCTGCGTCATTTAAAACTTTCATTTATTGAAATAATCTTAATTTGCTTTATAACTCTCATCTGAAGCCCACACTGCAATGGTAGTTCAAAGATTTTGAACAAATTCAATTATTTTTGAGAAACGAAATCACTCAAATCCTTTTGAATAATCGAATTGATGATATTTTGATTGATATGAAATTTTTTAACCCTAGAATTTATACCATCTCGAGTTTTTACCGCTTCGACTACCACCTTTTTTATATCGAGTGGAACAGAATCATCAGCAACCGTTTTAAAACGGGGAGTTCATTATTTAAATACCACATTGGTGATAAGATATAATTATTTATATATGAGCCTAAATCGAAAATGCAAAAGTATATTGAGGATAATCTTCCCATTAATATTAACAGCTCATACGTGGTAAGTACTTTCTAGAGGTACCTAGCAATTAGTTTTTGGGTGTCTTTCTTTTGCGTGGCATTGAACATTCGATGTTGAAGCACTTTTTATGCTCTTTTTTACTCCTGTGTGGACTATTTTACTATGTTTCGTAAGGCGTCTGCAAGTAGGTATTGTCTCCTGTTAAACTTTGCTTTGCTGACTTTTTATCAATCCTAGTGTTCCCGTAATTATTGTTGAGATTTTCTTGTTTTTTGTCAATATCTGACCACTTACTTAACCGAGGCATGCTTATTCTCTTGTCTGCTTGACAAGTAAAAAATAACAGGAACTACATCGCATTTCATTCGTTTCTGATTTCTTCTTGCTACAGAAAACCATTTTTGTTCTTCAGCACTAAATTTCTCGGTACACCAAGAAGTACCGGGTTTGGGTTATTCTTTGAAGTATTTGCACAATCAGCAAATTTTAAACGATTCCAAATCTCAAACGTGGTTGTTTAAAATTCTATGCTCACGTGTTGGATACAACACCATAGTTTTGGTCTTCCTTTTTTCCTCAAGAATTAGGATTATCTAAAATTTTCACTGGCGTGGTGAATACGTGTTTTTTTTTTTACTTAGAAGGATTTCTGATAATGAAGAAGTGCTTTATTAAGATGACAATAGACATTAAAGCGATATCAATAGACGGAATAGTTTTACTCCAAGAAAAAATCAAGTCCAATGGAAGTAATACTTTTTTACATTAACAAAATATTTTCTCTCGCATAATTGCGGAAACCAATCAACAATAGCGCGCGGCCTGTCAGTAGAGCACTTTATAAACCAGCTTTTACAACGACTGAACAGTAACCTTAATTGAACGGAACTGAACCGCAAAGTTTATAAAATCCGGATTTATTTCGCGAGCGTTCAGAGATGCAGCTGAAGAATTAAAATCTCGCACACTGGAGATACCTCGTTCATAGCGTTTTGTAGAGTACTTCCTTCGAATGCCAAACCTTTAAAAACCATTAACCCCATTTTATGTTCTCATGTCTAATTAACTGCGAATTTTAGCGGTTACTTTGTATAAAATATTGATCCTACGCTCAACTGCTTATACAAAAGTTAAAATTGCTTGGGCAATATGTGTGTACACTTTTTGTTTCGAACTTTTTAATCGTAGTTTGAAATTGGTTTATCGGCAAAAGTTCTTATCTGGATAGATATTAATAAAGTTTCAACATCGATCGTATGTGCGTTTTACAATAGAATCTATTGCGAAGAGTTGATGCTACTTCAATTATAAAGTTAATTAAGGAACTTGTTTCATTTCTGTTTGGAAGGACGGCGCTAAAATTGCATTTGTTGATTTTTTTGTGCTTAATGTATAGGGGGTTATTGAAATGCCATCATACAATTTAATTATAAAAAACTGACGTGAATAGAATAAAACCTTGTTCAGCAAAACAAGACGATTATGGCCGCAACTAGCTATCTCACTCTCAAACTGACAGTCACGATGCCTATCAAGCAACTCAACCTTGACATTTAATCAGAACATGTATGCCGCAAACATTTCGTATTAATTTTGATAAAACGCTGCAAACTGTCTCCATTTCAATTAATAAGCAACAGGGACCAAAAAAATTGGATTGTTAGTAGAGTGCACATTTTAAAACTCACATGATGCAATTTTCTGTCACATACGAATAAACCATAAAAATATAACAAATGAACAGTTAATTTCATAGGGACAAAAGAATTTTGCGGAGCTGATATGACAACTGAATAAATAAAATAATTACTTGCTTGCTTTTCAGTTATTTTGTAGTTGCAAATAAAAGTTTGTGTTTGTATGTTTCGCCAATCATCCTAACTCACATTTTACTCTGTAGCTGCTTATATATTGTTTGAGGGGATGGAGCTTAAAGGTGGGCAATGAACGTTGTTTCGGCTGACTGGTTCTCATATTGGTGAAAGGTAAAAACTTGAGTCGCGGTTTAAATTGATTGGTTGTTTATAGATGCAAGAATTTTGGTTTTATCGAATACAATTTGATGTCCGGTTCCTTGTTCGGTAACTGCTAATGGATTTATTTGTCTTAGTCGTAAGGCTCCTTCATGTTCTTTGAGCCTAGTTGATATTTTTCGTGTGGTCTCTCCAATGAATTTTGTTTTTAACAGATCGAAGATGTTTTGGACAAGTAGGTTGATTTGTAGTTTGGGTTGCTCTAAAGCTCATTGTCTTTGGAAGGTTGTGAAGTGTTAATTTATTTAATGTGGAAATTATTAGAAAGAAGAGCAGATATACGGTGTTTTAATTCTATGTCCAGTAACTCGAACTGAGATAGTTTTACGGTTCTGCAAACAAGAGAGTTGATTACCGATGATTTTTGGGTCAGATGGTGATTTACTATTGAGAAGAATGTTTAAAAATAGGAGAATATAATTACGTTACAATTAAATGATAAAACGTATATTAGAATGTATGGCTAAAATAATCTCCTAGGGAGAGACCGGACGAAAAATATCAACTAGGCTCAAAGAACATGAAAAGCATCCTAACACTACGACAAATAAACTTATCAGCAGAAGACAATCACAGAACCGGATATCAAATTTTATTCGACAAAACTTAAATTTTTGCATGTAATCAATTCCTCTCAGGTCTACCTTTCAATAACGTGGAAAACAGTCATCCGAGACATGCCCCTCCTGTAGCTCCGACTCCTCAAACAGTATATAAGCAGCTGACGAAGCTAACAGGATGTTTGGTGAAACGTCAGCAAGTTCAGTTCATCAATAATCGACACAGAAAGAATTCAGAAGATTTGTAAATAGTGTTACAGTAGCCTGTGGAAATTGGATTGATTAAAGTAATAGCGAGTGTTTAAATTTATTGTTGAGTAATGAATTAAACTATTAGTAATATATTTGCAATGTTTGTACCTCGGTTTTGCACAAAAAATGAATTGAGACAAGTTAATAAGTGATGAGACTGCTTAATCATTTTTTTGGAAGTGTGATAGATATATTGGCCAAATTTTGTTAACACTAATAATAATTAATTAATCGGTCATAATCGGTTGCGTGAGCAGGCAAATCAAAAGGATTAATCAATTTTTTTTTCATACTTGTTAAATACTACTACTGAAACAAATAATTTTTTGGGGTCGTCTACCTATGATTAAAAATTAGTGGGAAACACTGTGTAGTATTTGTAGACATAATAATAAGTCCGCTGAAAACGCGGAGTTGTATGGCACTGTGGCAAACCTTATTGTCTGGCTTATCGCTGAGGCATGGCAAGCATTTTTTAGCAAATCTTTGCCGTTTGTTCCTCGACAACTGGATTAACACCCTGTATTAATATTATAATATTCGCTGGCAATTATCGGAATGGTCTGATTTTTCATCAAATCTTCTTTCGACGATAACGGACGTTAGATATATTACGTTCGTAACAATTATATTGGTGTCATAAATCAAACCGTTGGGGGTTCTTCCTACCGGGTCCGCGAGGATGCCTCTTAAATCAAATTTGAATTACCTTTACCACGAGGGCTTCCAGCTCTTTGTCATATTTTAGGGCGAAGTGTAATTTTCCGCAGTATTCCATTTCGATGCCGCCATTGCTATCGACCGAGGGCTGCCGGACCAATTCTTTTTTGTACAGTTCTGGCTGCAACAACATAAGGAAAATATATTTTAGTTTGCGCGGGATTCACGTGCGCTATATGCAGGGAGAGGTTTGAGTTAGCTGTAACAACTGGGACAATGACCCACTAGAAAACACAAACAAAAACTGACAACGAAGGACAATTTAATTTTAACCATGGAAAACTATGGAAAACTGTAAGCAAAAAATTTTCCGGGCTGTTCGTTTGCTACCAAGGATCCTTGCCGTTTTCAATGCTTGCGTTTTGAAATCAATTTAAAAGGGTTGCGGTTATCGGTGTGCGTGTTGCAAGGGGTATCTTAATAATCGCAACAAAAAAATAAATTGGAATATCAGTCAACAATCAGAAAATTGTGGGAGACAATTGAAGGACTCTAAAGATACAAATTTGTAATTACAAATAAATTGGCGATAAAATTCAGTTCAGGCAAACAAATAGCCGACCTTCTAATTTTTTGTCCAGGATAGTTAAATTGGCAGAGCAATATAGCATATATAATATATAACATAAATTTAAGAAAACATTCTTTATCTGTGATTTTAGTTATAGTTATATTCAATTAATAGTTTTTGGATATCAGAATGTTTAACTCCAAACCCATCTGTTATTTTATCCGCAAAAAGTTCTTCACGGTGGAACTCGCCAAAGATCATTCATCTTCAATGCCATTTCCATCCAGAGAATGTGCAGCAAAGAAGTTGATTGAGTTTTGAATGAGGCAATGAAGCAAACACTTTTATATTTTTAAAACCATATAACTGCTCATTATAGATATTCTGTTTTCCCATTGATGCTGTGTTAAATTTTTGGGCCATATAAAGTTAGATCCTTACCAATCCTATTAATATCACAACTAAAATTTTTGACTCCCCTTTGTCTATTAGTTGCAGGTGATCTTATGACCTTCCCAATTTTTTTTTATAGGAAGTTTTTCATTCAGGAACTTTTAAAGCTTCCGAAAAAATTGTTATGTTTTTTTTAGTATTTGGTATTATGGTATTATGGTATTATAGTATTTGTCAAACTCGACAGTTGAAAAGCATCTTTTTTCTCTAATACAAAAAAAAAATAACGGGAAAAATTTGATATATATTTTTATTTCCAAAAATAATTTTGAACAAATTTTCTTTTGCTCATGTGGGAGCAAGTTTATATGACGATCATGTGGGACTAGATTTATATCACGAATGCCATTCAAAATATGAATAAAGACAAATGGATTTCGAAGTGAAAGCATTCAAAATGCAAAGCGGAACGTCTGAGACATCCCAATATACGCACGGATGATATCCCGAATTAGTTTTTCAGCAATAAGCTAAAAAAAAATTATTATACATACGAAAATAGTAAGTATCTTATGTCCAGTGTAAAAGATCACATATCAAATCAAATCAAATATCTGGTTCTTATGATGGAGTTTAAGAAAACCCTTATATTTTAATATCTCAAAGATCTTTTTCCTTGCTCTAAGTATTTTCTGAAGGATACTAGCTAAAGCTACTCATTTCCTCCATTCTCCATTCCTCAATAAAAGCAGTAACAATGATTGGGATTAACGCCATTCTCGTGTGTAGCCTTTTAGTTTAAACAGAACTGCTTTTCTATGAATGTTTAGTATTAGTAAATTCTTCTCGATCATTGCATGGCATTTCCTCTGCCTGGAAAATTTAGTTTATTTAACTTATTAAAGATCAAAGATATTTTGCAAAATGTTGATACTGCGTCACTGAAGCCCACGCCGAAACATTCGTCAAAAGAAATATTAAGCATTAAAAATTATTCGTCTGTGATAAATACTTCCCACGACATTGTTTCCAATTCCTTTCGGTTTAGCATGCAAATGAGACAGGGTATAATAAGCAGCAATAAAACTCAATTAAAACCGTAAAGTCGACTAAACAAGTCTTGGCGGAATTATGTAGATTAAAGTTTAATAATTTTATGTACTTTAACTACTTAAAAGTAATGAGTTTTTAGAGCTTTTACGAATATTTAGGAGTTTGAAATTATCGTTCTATGTGAGTTGTAGTACTGCCGGTGGCGTTTTCATTTTGGGTCGATTTATATTGAATCTTAGAAAATTTAGAAATAATTTTATGTTATTAATATTTTATTCATTCTAGAAAGATAATTTGAGAAGTTTCAATCTTTTGACCTCTTTATAATTAATCCTTTTTAAAATACCATTAAAATATTTTCTCATATAGTTTTGTTTTAAACACCAGTGAGCAAATTATTACCAGCGAAGCGGTTTCTGCCACAATTATGGAGCTCGACAGCTTAAATGACGCAAAGATACGCAAAATACAACAGAAGGCGGTAGACCGAGTCACGTGCTGAAGCCGAGTTTTTTCTAGACAAACTAATTATTTTGTTGATTATTCGGATTGTTTAAACCAATTATACGGTTGATTATTTTTTATCATAACTGTTGCTACACTGAGTTCTAATTTATTTTACACTTAGTTTGTAATACCTGACTTATTAATTTATATTTATCTCACTTTGAAAATTCGGACTAATAGTTCTAATTTTTCCTGGTGAATACTTTACTAATGTTTATTTTCTTCACTAAATAAGGTAACAATATTAAAATGTGTATGCGGTTTTCTTTCTTAAAAATACCTGGACCATTTTGATCTCCCTATGTTAGAAATATCACTGTCTTCACTGTAGTGTTCATATTTCTTTAGTGGATGATTCGAAAGTAAAGTCAATTTGTCTCAAAAAGTAAACATAACGAAAATGATCTGGACTCAATAACTGTAAAGAGTTGACGAATTGAGAGAGCGTTTTGATTAGTTTCTAAATTAGATATATGTGTATCTACCCTACATCTTAAGGCCATTCAAAAATGAATCAGTTTACCTTAATAAGACCAACGGTACTGCTGTGGTTCCTCTCTAAGCTGCAGATGCTAAATTTAACGTCCGTCGGTATGTCCAATCGATGTGATAACTGTCTTTGGAAAGTTTGATGGCGGTCGGGGACTATCGGTAGAGTTGTTTGTCGCAAAACCTGAAACGAAATCAATGCGTTTTCCAGAAACGTTGAATATCTTAAGGAATATTGTAATATTTGTGACATTGACGTTTCCGTACCGGACGAATTCATGTCTCTTTTCTGTAGTATAGCCAGCGTTTGTCAGTTCTCCTTTTGATTCGATTTGATTTGTATACATTTTAACTGCGACTCGCGAGATATGTTGCACGATTTGCCGTAAAAGAAATGGCCCTGGAGCTGGGAAATAAAAAGCTTTTCATTATTGGGAACTACCGTTTTACGGGAAGGCATTTGGGGAAAGGCAACTTCGCCAGGTATGTGTATTTCTAATCTTATTTGCGAATTTGGAATTACATGTTAGACAAAACATTGACGCTGCCAACAATTTAAAAGTTCCCAGAGACTTATTATTATCATTATAATTGCGAAATGTATACCTGTAAAGTTGTGTCGAACCTTTCTGAGTCACTAACGTGTTTAATGAAGTTACTAAGCAAGTATTTTATTGACAATAATACACGCATATGTGGAATTTTATAGATTAAGGTTTAAAACATTAACATTAACATTAATAATTAAAATAATATTTTCCTTTCTAAATTTCGCAATCAAATAAGATGTTACTATCTCTGTGAAATATATAACCCCCGTTTAATTTACATAATTATTGTTTCTGCTTAATTATTAAAACTAGAATAAAATGTGTTGATTCCGTAGTTATGATATAAGACAAAATCTTGACTATATTTGACTTTCACTTAATTTAAATTTGTTATAGTTTACCTTATTTTACTGAATGTAATGAGAATACGTATTCATCAGATACAATGAATAAATAAAATAATTAAGAAGGACGGAATGGCAATATCAATTTTAATTTTTCTTCTGCTTCTCTTGGTGCCTATCCTCTGTGGATTTTGGCAATCAAGTTGGTTCACATGATGTTATTGACATGTTCTAAATAAGCATGCACTTGTCATTCCGAACCATCGTCTGATATTCTTCAGCAATTACGTTCGTCGGCGCCCCTAAGTACGTCTTTTTGCTTTGTAACGCCAGCTGCATGAGCTGATATTTTTCATTGTCCCCATACATGACATTTTACTTATTTTTTCACATGTCTTATTATTTCTGGAAAACCGTATAAAATAGTGAAAAATACATAGCATAGCGATCCAATTCTTTATTCAGACTGTAAGTTTTCGTTACCTCTGCTGTAACTATAGATTCCTAATAAGTCTATCGTCAATATCAGAGAATTTTAATACTTGGTAATGTTGCACCAGTCCAACGGTTTTACAAAATCGATAATATATACATTGCAGTTTACGTCCACATCTCTTTGACATGAAATCTTAAATTTTGAATGGAAAATCCCGCTTTTCACGTTCCAAGGCCACTTTTGAAGACACACAGAATTTTGAGAACATTATTAAATATTTTCTTCGAGGCGTATTGAGAGCATCTGATGGCATTTTCTTTCTTAGGATTACGAATGAAGGTGGAAGTTAGCTAAACTCCTGTTTCATAGATTCTGTTGAGTGAATTAGTTAGTTTTGGTAGTAGCATTTCGCCATGTATATTAGCCAGATCATACGAGTTATTGTTTTATAGTTGTTTCATTGCTTATCTTTTGCCACTGAGTGTTATTTCCGGTTCCAGCAACCTAAGAATTTCGGTTTCTCTTTGTTACTGTCATATTTCAAGTATTCTTATTGATTTGTCGAAAAACATATTTTGAATCGGCAGGTTGTGTTGAATCTGTATTGCAATCGCCTACATCTTTTAGAAGGTAACGTTTTGACAAAAAAAAAACGAATTTCACTTTTAATAAAGAGTTTTTGCATATTTAAAAATATAAAAATTTCATTCGACATTTTCTCAAAATGCGATTTTTGAAAATATAAATTTGCAGGGTGACAAGTAGGATAGAACACAACGTAATGATACAATTCAAGAAAGAATCTGAACTATTTAAGGTCGATTTTACCGAAAATGGAAATTAACTTTTCATTTCCCCCGCATTCGACAAATTACTTGAGGTATTACATAATAAAGTGAATTTCGGTTGGAATTCGATATGCACCTCAAGTAAACCAATGACTATCGTCCCAGGAGTTAATTATTATTATGCTCTGTAATGTCGACAAATATGCACTGGAATTTAATTATTGAACGTTTCAAGTCAAATTAAGATTAAGCTGATGATCGAAAATTTATTTCGACACGGATTCATGTTCTTCGTCATACGCGGAAACAATAACTCGGATCTTTAGGGCTTTTCGGTAAAAGAGAAGTTTTGGGCAACCCGAAACTCGCAGATTAGAACCTAGATACGCAAAGTCTTCTAAATGCACCCATTAATTAAATTCGAAGCCCTTGGAAAGTTCTAGCCCTCCATTGCAGCATAGCATTGACTTAATTCGAAACCGGTCATTTTCAGAACACCGACATTCATGAACCGAACAACTGTTTGCTTAAGCGAATACTTACTAGCTATAAATTAACTTATTTTTATATATGTTTAATAAAAATGAATTATGCGAATCGATACGAATATGGGAAACCATAATAAAAGGGGTAAAAAACAAAGGAGAATTATTAATATTAAATTATAATGTAATTACTATATATATATATATATATATATATATATATATATATATATATATATATATATATATATATATATATATATATATATATATATATATATATATATATATATATATATATATATATATATTTATTTATTTATTTATTTTGTCTTTCGATTTTATGTAGCACCCGATAAAACAATTTTTCGTATGTATTAAAAACGGGTGATATTGTTATTTGTCACATTATTGCGCCATCCTGTATGTGTCTATATCGTTAGCGTATAGTGTATCTCAAATAATATCCTGTTCCCTTTCGACGGACCATACCCTAATAAATCATTAAAACGATTTTATTATCTATTGTTATTGGATAAACGCTTAATATGTCAGCTGATAGATGAGGCTACAAGCGCGGAAATTTTCGAAAAGTTTGAAATTCTCATTTATAAAATATTCCCGTTAACAGCCGCCTGCTACATAAAGCACGAATCGTGTCAGGTACAAAAACTAAAATCCCATGTTATTTGCTATAAATTTTGATTAAGTTCCCAGAAAGCACAATCTTTGAAACTTGTAAATTCATACGTATTGATATGTATATGATAATTTTGTATCATTGTATGTTTAACCTCATAAAGCATTTGTAGTACAATCAAAAGTCAATGAAAAGAAAAAAAGAAATGTAAGGAATACCTCGGTCTCGAAAAGTAATTGTCGGTATGACGTGGAGTGAAAAAAAAATATTTTTTTAAACTGGGAGTGTTTGAAACCCTTTTTAAGATATCGATGTTGACCTGAGCAGAAAAAATTAAATGCGATATCTCTCAACAAAAGATGGACAACTAAGAGTCTAATAATGCTAGAGAAAACCGCATTTTGATATCTGTTTTTTTTGCAAATCTATAATATCATTTAAAGAAATAAAAAGTCGAAATAATGACGCATATTTGGGAATATTTTCATTATATCTGCCATTATTAAATCTTAATTTTCGTTCTATATGTAAGAATTTACTGTAAAAATTGAAAAATTATATTTAAAATGTCACATGAAGTTTGAAATTTTTAAAATCCAAATGTGTTTTAGAAAACAAACTAGCAAAAATGAATTTTTTATATAGAAATGAGTATTAATTGTTAACATTTTGAATATAATGTTGGCGTTTTAGAAGCAAATTTATATACAGTAAACGGCTAAAATATGGAACAAAAATTTGGCAGTTAACAGCAAATAGTAGATGTCGATATCAAGTTTTTTTTTTTAATTTCTTTAAGTCCAATTTCGAATTCTTTATCAAATTTCACGCATAATTCATGTATCATGTACCTATCTTCTAGATTTTATGAGCAAAAGAATAAAAAACAGAAATTTAATTTAGAAATGAACAAACAATCCAAGTAAATTTTTCAAAGAAACTTCCACAGGCTACTATAATGCTTTTTACAAAACTTCTGGATTTCTCCTATATCGGTTTTTGCTTAGTCGAAATTGCTGACGTTTCGCCAATCATCCTGTTGGCTTCTTCAGAGGTGTCAGTTTCAGTCAAGCTCTGAAGAAGCCAACAGGATGATTGGCGAAACGTCAGCAATTTCGACTAAGCAAAAACCGATGTAGGAGGAATCCAGAAGTTTTGTAAAAAGCAGTCCAAGTAAAGTTGTTAAATTGTTAGATTTACATTTCTGTCAGTAAAAAAAGTGAATGTGGTAAACGAAACCCAAATAATTGAAATTTAAATATTTATAAAAAATGGAGACAAAACGAGAATTTAAGAAGAACTTTGTAATTTGTTTAACGCAAAATTATTTAAAAATTTATAGAAACAGGGCATGTAAAAGAAAATTGCCCCCATATTAAATAAACATTAAAATTTCAATTCTCTGGGTTTCATTTAGATGAGCAATATCCACTTTCATTTTTAAGAACTTTAGTGATACTAGCTACTTACCTGTTCATTTCAAAGTAAAATTTCTTTTTTTTTAATCTTTTTCTCATAGAAAGTAAAGTATAGGGTATGCTACATAAATTATGAGTGAAATGTGTCCCAGAATTCCCAAAATGGATTTAAAAACATGGGGTTCCATTTAAAAAAGAAACTTGGTACCAGCATCCACTTTTTGACCAACCGTGTATATTTTATACTTTCTGAAAAAAAATTGTGTGCGGACATTTTTTTGATTTTTAAATGAATTTGTTCTATAATTTAGGTGTTCATTGTATATTGCTAAGAGAACGAATATTAGTATATTATAATGGTAGGTATATTATTTTGTTTTAATTTCTTTTAGTGATATTAGTAATTAACCTTTTTCTCCACCAATACTCATAATATCCAATCAAGAGTCCTGGAAGTAAGACTTTAAGACGTCAGTTTCATTAACCCCTGTTGCGAGCAGCTTCACGACTAAACTGGGGTTT